TCCAAGTGCAACCGATTATGACTAGTAATAATCAGATACACACAGATTAGAGATGCATGTGCCAACATCTCAGTGTTAGTAGCAAAAACAGTGAGTTTTTCTGTAAGAAACAGTTTATTTTAAAATGAAAGCGCCAACATCTCAGTGTTAGTAGCAAAAACAATGAGTCTTTCTGTAAGAAACAAGTTTATTTTAAATTGAAATAGAGGTTTTATTTTGTCTTTTTGAGACAGGGTCTCCCTGTAGCCCCAGCTGTCCTGGAACTCACTATGTAGACCAGGCTGGCCTTGAACTCAGAGAGATCCACCTGTCTCTGCCTTCCAAGTGCTGGGATTAAAGGCGTGCGCCACCACACCTGGCGAAATGGAGATCTTTTTTAAAGGTTAAAAACTCATTCAATTTTGTGTCTTACAGGGCTTATACTGAGTTCAATATTGTATAGCTGTATTAATTCAACAGCGAACTTAAAAATTTATAGCCACTTTTGAAAGAGCTGAATCTTTGCTTTGGAAACTGTTATTGAACATATTAAAGCTGTAATCGAACCTAAAAATTTCTAGCCACTTTTGAAAGAGTTGTATCTTTGCTCTGGAAACTGTTATTGAGCATATTCAAGCTGTAATGATATACTTCTAAAAAATATTAAAAATATTTTTAAAATGTAGGAACCAGCATATTTTTAAATGAAATGGAGATCTTTTTTAAAGGGTAAAAACTCATTCAATTTTATGTCTTACAGGGTTATACTGAGTTCAATATTGTATAACTGTATTAATTCAACTGTAAACCTAAAAATTTTGAAAGAGATGCATCTTAGTTCTGGAAATTGTTATTGAATATGTCAATGCTGTTGTAATGAAATGCCTCTTCTAATTATGTGGGTATTAAATAAATAATTTAAAAAATTCATCTGAACACCTGTATAAGTTAGTGTTCAATTCTGTTTCCCTAGACCCAGCAGAAAGTCATGAAAAATGAAGTATAATCACATGGCTGATGCAGGCACTTACTATCAACTGTAAACCAGCATGTCAGCATCTTCTGCTCTTGCTTTAAGCAGAATTTTAAAATGTGATGCTGTGCTGGTTCCTCTTATCCAAGGCTTGAGAAGTCAATCTCAGAACCTTCCAACTGTTTCCAGCCCAGAAATCAAGTGTAACATGTTACTTATTATTTATTACATTTTACAGTTTACAATGTAACAGTTTTGAATATTTCCAGATTACATCAGATTCTTTCAAGGAGAAAGAAGTAAAGTAAAAGCAATAGAAGGTAGAGACAAATCATCACATAAAACCAATTTAGTGATGCAGCTCACTGGGAAAGCAAGTACTTAGCATGTGTGAGACCTGTTTGATCTCCAGGACCACAACAAGCTACATCAGGGAAAGACAAACTAGATATTCAGATGGTTTTGAAGAGCTTCACTGAATCTGTCAGTAGGCCCTCAGACCTGATAGTAAGAAACTGACATCTCATCTTTCAGGCAAATTTACTAGACTTTTTTGAGTTGAATGCATAGGAAAAACATACAGGTATTTTTTTTTTTTTTAATCTGTATGAGTGTTTTGCTTGCATGTATGTAAGTGCACCACATGCATACAATGTTTGTGGAGGCCACAAGAGGATAGTGGATCTGCTGGAACTGGAGTTATGGAAGGCTGTTAGCCACCATGTGGGTACTGAAAACTGAACCTGTATCCTCCGCAAAAGCAGTCAGTGTTCTTAACCACTGAGCCATCTCTCCAGCCCCAACAGCTTTATATAGTTTTTAAATATAAATGCTTTCCCAAGAATATTATCTCAACTGAACTTCAGTGTAATAAAATACACACTTGTTACTAATGGTAAGATTTACCTTAAAACAATTCTCAAGACTTTGACCTTTCCTGTGTACTCCTATATTGGGCACCATTTCCATTATTAACAATATGTCAACCGACAGGGCTCCTGCTGAGAGGATGCAGTGAAATGGCAAGTACTTGATAAGATGCCAACATTTACGTATCAGAGGATTTTAAAGATTTCTTGAAATATCTTGAAATGGGTGTGGTGATGCATGCATGGGATCCCAGCACTTGGGACACTGAAGCAGGAATATAGTGATTTTGAGGCCAGTCTGGCCTATAAAAAACAAACCATCTCTGTCTCAAAAAACACACACTTTACTGTTTTAGGTGCTGTTTTGTTTTGTTTTTTTAACCTAGAATCCTGTACATGTTAGGTAAGTGCTAGATCTATCACTGAGCTATATTCCTATATCACAATAATTTTTTTTTGAAATTTCAGACTATGCATAAAAAATGCCATTATGAATGGTTAGATTACTGACTGATTTAATCAGAATTCTTGCTTAGGGTATTATTTGGCACTGTGACACAGCCTCTACCTAAGAACACATATCACACATAATCTATCTGATGTATTTTTCCCATATTACATTTTAATGCATGTCAGCTGATATCTGGAAAACACTGCCACTGCTTACCCTTGATGCAGCACAATGGCGAGAAAAATGACCAAAACTTAAAGTCTACCAAAAAGGGTCTCACTACCTTTAAAATGAAATCCTAAACTACCAAATGAGTCACTCCTAGGGAAAGCTGGGCACTGTTCCTACTTCCTGCTGTGAAACAGCTGCCACACCTTCCTGATTCCTGGGAGAGGTGAGAGACTGAGAAAAGGGCCCTTTGTCTTGATGGGTGGTACACCCTCTGTGTGGGATAAGTCAACAAACCCTTCAGGACCCTTTCTCCTCTTTGTTAGATTAAAAAAAATGATAATGAAGAATTTAAAAAATAGAAACAATACAGTGACTCAAGCACAAAACCCTCACCCAGCTTACATATGACTGTTTTTATTTTTTTTAGATACAGGGTCTCACTACAACAGAGAAAATAAAAAATTTCAACTACAGGGATAATTGTTTAAAAAATTTTTATTTTTCATCACATTTACTTTATTTTGTGTGTATGTATATGGGGGCGGTGCAACTGTCACAGTGCTTATGTGGAGGTCAGACGACAACCCTTGAGAGTTGGCTCCCCCATCTACCATGTGGGTTCCGGGGATTGAACCCAGGCTGTTTATTTGGCTTGGTGGCAAGTGTCACATACTGAGCCATCTCACCAGCCTAGTGATAATGATTTTAGATCAGGAGAATATGTTCTTTCCCATTTATATCTGTTTTATGTATCATTTTAAGAAATTTACAAACATACTTTCTCTAGACCAGTGGTCTCCACATCAGAGGTGATTTTTGCCCCCAAGAAATGTCAAAAGACATTTTTGGTTGCTATCACTGGGGGGAGCCATCTGGCAGACCAAAGCCCAGGACAGGACCAAATCACAATGCATGGAAAAGCATCACAGCCCCCAGACAACAGAGTGACTGGGGCCCCAAGTATCAATGGGGCTAAGATTGAGAGACGTAGATCAAGTTAGGTTCAGAGGGAGCATCTCTGATGAAAGAGGAAAGCTGCTCTGCTTTCCACATAAAATGACACTGGTTGAGGTGTTAGCAAAAAGACTTCACCACAGGTGCAAAATATCCTGTGAAGTCTCTGAGAGTCGAGACCAGCTCAGCATGGTTTGATGTGCTAGGCAGAGAGGAACAGCTGTAGGACACAAGGCAGAGAGAGATAGCATCTCCTAAGAAGCGACATCATGTTCACAGTCCTATCACTACAATTAATGCTGAAAACCCTGAGGTCTTCTTTAAATTGTCAGCTATTGAGAAAAAGGAAGTACACAAAAGCCGGGACTAGGAAAACACACAAGAACATTAGGGTCCACTGGAACTTCTAGCAGCAGATCACATGATGTCTTTATGGCGATACTTTGGCAATATAATAGTTTTTTAAAATGGGGGTTGCAGCTCAGTCAGTAGTAGAGTGCTTGCCTCACATGCATGGTGCCCTAGATTCAACCCCCAGTATTAAAAAAAAAGTAAATAAAGCAGAACATGGATACATACTGGATGATCAAAAAGAGAATAAGGAAAAGGTCTGGTTATACAAGGCAATGGGGAAATCTTTTAAGATTTCCTTTAATATTATAAATGTGCAGCTATTTTAATATTCTAAAATTTTATCACAGGAAGACAGGTAATTCTAGGTGTGGGTATGCACTGGCCAGAATAATGGCACAGGTTAACTTTAGAACAGTATTTGGATTAACTGCCTATGTGTAAAATGATTTGAATATATATGCACACAATTTGGTATTCTTTACTTCCTAACAAGAAAATAAATTTGGCTTTAAAATTTTTTTTCTAAAATGTTGATTTGCAACTCAAGTTTTACCACGAACATTCAAAAGTCTGTAAAAAGAAGAAGCTGGTTAAGAGTAGGTTTCAGAATGGTGTTAGTTGCTCAAAGTCACAATCTACATATGACAAAGTGAATTCTCAGACAGATGCTACTTATCAAATGGGAAATTAAATAATAGTCTTGGGAAGGAAGACTTCCCAAATATTAAAAAAAAAAAAGACATGAAGAGACTTACCGGGAGTTATTATGATGAATATTACATGCTCGGGCCATTAGCACCACAATAATTGGTCGGAAGGCTTTTCCTTTGCCATCAAAGTGGTACTCAGACATTTCCTTGAGTTCTGTTGTAGATATGAGCAGTTCCTGAAACACAGTTTCTTTTTGTCAACAAGGTATTATAATCATACAGGCAGGACTTTTTTTCTCTTCAAAATTTCAGGTGATTTCAGTGTATTCATGTCAGGTGAGGAATTCAACACTCAGTTGGACAAGGGTCCCAATACTTTATGGTGTAAACCTGGCTGCCCTGCAGGTTGGAACAGAAATAATGCCTGGCTTGGCTCCCAGAGCGGCCTGGCTGCAGTATCAGAGCAGGCAATGCCTCCTGCCTCTTGCACCAGAAACCAGTTACTCCAATCGACAGCCAGACACAGGAGAAAGCACTTGGGGTCCAAGAGCTCTGAGCTGGTGACAACTGACAAAGAAAGGAACAGAGGCAGCTTGAAAGACAAGGAGAAAGGAAGATGTGGACTGTCCTGGTTGGAGAGGCAACCCTGCATATTATGCACAGGTGAGAGAAGAGGGTCACCAGGGAGAAGCAGTGATCAGTGAACCCAGCTGGGCCTTATTTAGCATAAGACATTTCAAAGGTTCTTGGAGGAAATTTGAGACACGGTTTGTCTGATTGTGGGGCACTTACCATTGAGTTGGAAAGACTAATTTAATTTTATTGAGTTACATTCTTTGAAAAGCCCACTCTGGCCTGAAATTCACAATCTTCCTGTGCAAGCCTCAAAGAGCTGAAATATAGGTATGTATCATCATGCTTGGCTGAGACAAACAGTTTAAAAATATGGATTATTAAAAGACCCAGAAACAATCACATTTACAAAAGCTTCAACAAACAAGCAAACCAAGTAATAAACCTAGCCAAAGAAGAGAAAGACTTCTAGAATGAAAATTTAAAACAATGATAAAAGAAACTGGAAAAAAAAAATACTAGAAGATGGAAAGACCACTCATGGGTAGTGAAATGGAGGTATTACTGAAAGCAGTCTACAGATTCAATGCAATTTCCATCAAAGCTCTAACGACATTCTTTAAAAATGAAAATTACATTTATTCATTTATTTTGGTGGTGGTGGTAGTGGGGTGCGTGCCGTGATGTGTGTGGAAGCAAGAGGACAATCTGCAGGAACTGGTTCTCTACTTCCACCAAGATGGTCCCAGGGATTGAACTCTGCCAAGCTTGACAGGCAGTGCCTTAACCCACTGAGCCATCTTGCTGGCTCCATAATGATATTTACAACAGAAAAATGAAACCAGCCCTAAAATTTATACAGAAGCACAAAAGATGCCAGATAGTCAAAACAAGCCTGAGCGAAAAGAACAGCACTAAGCCATCAAATATTGGACCTCCCATTATACTACAGAGCTACAGCAACAAAACAAGACACTTAATAAATGGAATAGAATAAAGAAGCCAGAATTAAACCCACAAAGCTATAGTCATCTGATTTTTAACAAAAATGCCCAAAAACACATGCTGGTGCTGGGAAAACTGGATGTCCACATGTAGAAGAATAAAACTAGATCCCTGTTTCTCACCGTATACAAAAATCAAATCCAAATGGATCAAATACCTTAATGTAAGACCTAAAACTCAGACAATGAAAACAACACTTTAAGATACAGATGTAGGTAAAGACTTCCTGAACAGGACTCTAGTCACTGGGAAAATAATACCAAGAACTGACACATCATGGCATCAAACTAAAAACTGCACAGGATAGGAAACAAATGAGTGAAGAGACAGCCCTAAAGAATGGGAGAAAACCTTTGCTAGCTATGTATCTGTCACAGGGTTAATACCCAGAACATACTAAGAACTCAAATTTAGAAATAATGGGCTACAAATGGCCAGAAAACATATGAAAGAAATGTTCAACATCCTTAGCCCTCAGGGAAATCAAACTAAAATACTGCTTTGAGATTCCATCTCACTCCAGTCAGAACAGCTAACAACAAATGCTGGTGAGAATGTATTTATTTTTATGTATATGTGACCCACATTCTTCTGGTAGGAAAGTAAATTGGTCTAGCCACTATGGAAATTAGTATGAAAGGTCCTCAAAAAACTAAAAATCATCAAGTGAAAAAACTGTCATGTGATCTAGCTCTAGCACTCCTGGGTATATACCTGAAGGAATCTAAGTCAACATATCAGAGATCCTTGCACATCCATGTTTATTACAGTCCTATTCACAATAACAATGTTATGGAATCAGGCTACATGATGGTCAATAGATGAATGAATAAAGAAATTGTGGCATATATACACAATGGAGTTTTATTCAGCCTTAAAGAAGAATGTAGGTGTTGGGCATGGTGGGACATGCTTTTAATGCTAGCACCCAAAAGGCAGAATCTCTGAGATTCTGGAGAACCTCTGAGAATTTTGAGGCCAACCTGGTCTACATTGTTAGTTCTTAGCCAGCCAGGGCTACACAGTGAGACCCTGTCTCAAAAACAAAAGCAAACAAGAAAGAAATTATGTTGTTTGCTAGAAAACAGATGCAATGAAGACCATTTTATTAAGTGACATAAAATAGACTCAGAAAGACAAATTTATGTGTTTTCTCTATTTGTGGATCCTAAATTTTAAAAAAACCACATATAGCTGGGCGTGGTGGCACATACCTTTAGTCCCAGCACTTGGGAGGCAGAGGCAGGCCGATCTCTGTGAGTTCAAGGCCAGCCTGGTCTTCATAGTGAGTTCCAGGTCAGCTACAGGGGCTACAGGGAGATCCTGTCTCAAAAAGACCAAAAAAAAAAAAAAAAACACCAAAAAACCCACATACATAAACATGACACAAAAGCAGAAGGAGCACTGAAGGAAGAAAGGAAACAAGTGGGAAGAGAGAAGAAAGGGAGAGAGCATGGGGAAATGAGTGTGGTCAGAATATGAAAGGCTTGAAAAATAAAGCAAATTAAAACTGGACGAAGAATGAGAGGGAGGAATGAGGAAAATGGAAAGGGAAGGACAAGTAAAGAAGAGGGTGACTATGATTAAAGTAGGCTATACATGGATGAAAACAGTGAAGCCAATCACTGGTTACAAATAATATTAATAAAAACACAAGCCTGAAAACTATACACAAAAGCTGTATATGGTGGTACATGCTTCCAGTTCCAGCCCTTGGGAGGCTGGAGGAGGACCCCTGAGTTCAGGGACACCTATGGCTATATAGGGAGACCCTGTCTCAAAACAAAAACAAAAACAAAGATTCAGTGAATAATATGTTGGCAATCTATGCAAAAGTTGAGAAAAGGATGAGTTTATTGTGAGACAGACAGTGTAAATATTTCATGGAGAAGATGAGCTTCAAGAAACACTGGCAGAGTTTGACTTGTGGGGAGCACATGTGGTGATCCATGGCTGCATGCTTGTTATATCTGCCACTCGAGGAACATGTAACCTGAATCAGAGCCAAACCCAGTCAAGAATCACACCATTAGTACACTAGAATGCTGGCTCAGTGCCAAGTACTATAGTAATAAAGGCACAGGTCAAAGATAAGCAAGACAACCTTTCCCACAAGGAGCCAGGGTCTAGATGGGGACAAGTAAAGCTATAAAACTACAGTTAATACTAGGGCATGACAGGTGATATACTAAGGTCAAGGAAGCTACTCTGTGAGCACAAAGAGAAGCTTGGCTTAAGCTAAGAAAGGGAAGATAAGATAGAGAGTGAGGTGATGAGATAGCCTGGCTGGGAGCCTGAAAGGGACTGAAGGCAGGTGACAGACTAAAGGGAACAGAGAGAAAGGAGAGGGTGAGCCCAAGAGTCCTTCCTGAGTTCCTAGGTGATACCTTCAACAACCAAGCATACCAGGAGAAAAAACAACATGTGGGATGAAAAGAACCTTTCAGAAATGGTAGGTCATGGACACTCCATGGCATAGCCTGCTAAGTAGTTAGCTATGCAGGCTTAGAGAAACAATCCAAACTGGAGTAGAGATATTTGGGAGCTTGAGAAATGAAAACAGAAGACACAGGGAGTACCAGAACCCCAAATAACACCACAGTTGAAAGGGGAAGAGATAAAGAGGAACACACATATGGAGGATGGCCTAAAGACTAGGTGCACAAGGAAAATATGGAAGCTAAGGGAACAGCTAAGGAAGGGGCATGGTCAATGGTGTCCAGTGTCAACAGTTAAGGAAGAGGGAAGCAGAAAGCACCCACTGCATTTGGTAAAAGGAAGATCCTGGTGACCTGGTCAGAAGCAGTTGAGAGGAGGCTGGAAAGGAAGACACAGGCAATGGTGGAGTAAGTGTGAAAGGGCAAGAGTGAGACAGAGTTCAGAGTCCTGGATGGATGAGAGGAAGACATAGAGTCAGAGTGGTCTTTTTGAAAATGAAGAGAGGCTCAATGTGGGGCACATGCCACTAATTCCAGCATTCAGGAGGCTAAGACAGGAGGATGCCAAGTCCAAGGCCAACTTAATACACAGAAAGTTCAAGGTTTGCTTGGGGGTGTTCCCGTAAGACCTTGCCTTTAAACAAAAGAAAGGTGAAGGCCAGTGGTGTATACTTCTGTAATCCCAGCACTCAGAAGGCAGAGGCAGGAGGATCACAAGTTCAAAGCAGCTTGGGGCACACAGTGAATCTCTCTCAATGAAACAAAACAATAACAAAAAAGAAGAGCTTGTGATACAGCTCTGTAGTACAGCATTCACCTACCATGTGCAAAGGCCTGGGTGACGCTGCTGTGCTGCTGTGAAAGCCATTAGGCTTGACTCCTGGGGAAAACTGGGGAACTCTGAATGAGGGAACAAGCTGACAAAGAGGGATATGAACATTCAGAACAGGATTTTACTGATTTTTAGATTGGGGAAAGAGTAAGAAAGGCTGAGACTGACTCCCCTTAGGTGAAATCTATGTTGTTTGTTTGATACAGAGTCTCACCATACAGCCCTGGTCACCATGTAGGCCAGGCTGACCTCAAACTCAAGAGATCATCCTGCCTCTGCCTCTTGAGTGCTAGGATTAAAGGCGTGTGCCACCCTGCCTGGCCACCATTTTGTTTTCGAGACAGAGTATCTCTTTGGCCTGGGGCTCATCAAGTAGGCTATTCTGCTGTCCTGGGAACCCCAGGGATATGCCTAGTTCTGTCCCTCCATCACTGGGATTACATACATATGGCACCAAGCCCAGCTTATTTTTTGACAGGGATTTTGGGACTCAAACTCAGATCCTCATGATTGTGTAGCATGTACTTTACTAACTGAGCTACCTCCCTAGCCATATTTTTAAATGTTTTTAAAGCACAACCCACATTAGTGCTAGCAGCCTACAGGCACAGAGGTTAGGCAATGGTCTTAAAGCCATAGTTTGGCCTGGCATGGGACACTATGAGAGGCCCAGGGTGACAGGCCTGCCCTAAATCCAAACCCATGCATTGGATAGCACTATAGAATCTACATGAGCTGGGTATGGTGGCACACACCTTTAATCCCAGTATTCAGGAGGCAGAGGCAAGTGGATCTCTGTGAGTTCAAGGCCAGGCTGGTCTATATAGTGAGTTCCAGGACAGCTGGGGCTACAGGGAGGCCCTGTCTCAGAAAGACAAAAAAAAAAAAAAAAAAAAAAAAAAAAAAGAATCCACATGAAATTTTAAGAGCTGAATGAAGAAAGTTATATTTGGGATAACCTAGCAATGACTATTCAGAAGTAGATAGGGAAACCAGTAATAGGAGTCATTGTGTGATGCAGATGTAAAGAGGAAAAGTTAGATAAGATAGCTTGGTAGCACATGCCTTTAGTCCCAGCACTAGGGAGGCAGACGCCAGTCTGGTCTACACAGTGAGTTCCAGGGCAGCTGAGGCTACAGGGAGACCCTGTCTCAAAAAGACACACATAAGAAAGATCACTCACTGAACAAGTATGTGCTTTCTGCACCATTTTTCAGCTTCCTGACTGCAATAACATCTTTTGGAACAGCAACACCAATTGCATCGTCTGTACTGCCCAGCACTGGGCTGCACGTGGTTGTTGTTTGAGTAACATTTGAAACCTGATAAACGCAAACCAAGTTGGTAATGGAATCACTGCTTTTCCTTTTATAAAATACTTTACTTATTATTTTTATTTTATGTGTATGAGTGTATTGCTTGCTTGTAGGTAGGTACACCCATGTCGTGTGATGCCCGAAGAGGTCAGAAGAGGGCGTCGGAGTCCCTGGAACTGAAGTTACATATGGTTGTTAGCTGCCATTTGGGTGTTAGGAATTGAACCTGGGTCCTCTGCAAAAGCAGCGAGTGTTCTTAACTGCTAAGCCATCTCTCCAGTCCCCCCTTTTTAGTTTTTTAATTTTATGTTTATTTTACGTGTATACATGTATTGCCTGCATGTATATCCATATAGTGCAATGGACAGAAGAGGGTGCAGGATCCCATGGAACTGGAGTAACAGACAGTTGTTAGCTGTCATGTGGGTACTGGGATTCAAACCTGGGTCTTCTGCAAGAGCAGCCAGTGTTCTTAACCGCTGAGCCATCTCTCCAGCTCTGTAGTCACTGTGTTTTCATTTGTTTGTTTTTGAGTTAGGCTCTCACACTGTAGGCTAGGTGATCTTATAACTTATGTGCCCCAGACGAGCTTTGGACTTTACTACTTCACAGCAAAATTGGAAAACTTACCTTTCTAATATCTTCATACAGACCTTTCAAGTCTCTCCAGCCAAGTTTAAAAGGATCAGTGTATTTCTCGCCACTCTGTGTTTTACTGCAACAGCCCACTGCTGGTGTCTTTTGATGAAACCTGTGATAAGTGAAAATGTACGATCCATTTTTAAGTATTATATGGACTTGGCTCAGAGACCTGGTAGAAATTCAGCAAGAATCTGAAAAGCTCACTATAATTTAGAAACACAGAATTTTAGTCCTGCTACATAATACATTAATAGATCATTTTTATGAACAGGACCTGGAAAGAGATAAGTTTATTATATTCTCGAGTTTAAATTTTATTACATCCCATCTTTTAACAAGGCGGAGATCACATGGAGCAGCTATCACGGCATTTACATAGGTATCATTATTAACTTGTTGACCTAGCTTATGAAAACTTAGAATAGAAATTTACTAGCAATGTGATTAGTCTTATAGTTCTCCTTATAATATGGATTATAAACTTACCGTGATATGTTATACACATTTGGGAAGGCAGATGTTAAATTCTTCACAAAACTAATAGAGGGCATCTGTTAAAAAAAAAAAAAAAAAAGAACTTGTAAATGTTACTGGAAAATTTATTCATAACAATATTCCCATAACTCATAATAAGCATTATCTTTCAATTAGCTGTTTATAAGAAGTTGTAAACATTAGAGAAAAGGAACAGTTTAAAGTTTCCTTTCCTAATTACAAAGGCAATACTTGTTATAGAGAAAACCCTAATAAGATTAAAGCAGAAGCAGGGCCTGGTGCACAGGCCTGGAATCCCAGTGACTTGGGAAGCAGAGACAGAAGATCACAAGCTCAAGGTGCCTAGGTCACACAATGAATTCAGACTATTGTGGGCAACTTTTGCTGAGAACCTATCTACAAATTAAAACAAAAAACAAAACAAAACCAGAAAAACTGAAAAAAGCCAGAGCTGGGAATGCTTAGTAGAAAAGTATTTGGCCAGCATCCAAGAAACCCTAGGTTCAATCTGCCATATTGACAAAACCAAAAACCAAACCCCATAAAACTGTAATAGTCACTCCTCTAACAAAAGCAAGTTCCAGATCTACTTTTCTAAACCTGATTTGTTAGAAAATAGTGAAGATTACTATATTCTTTTAAATTCTCAAAACAAGTAAGTGGAAGGCATCATCTGGGATGGTAAGGAAAAGATTTTAACATTAGGGAAGGAACTGACATTTACACAAACATCGCCTATGTTGTTATTAAATATGTTTTGGAAATGGTGCTTCTGGGTAAGTAATATTTAAAGAACAAATGGACTGGGATTATACCCCAGTGGTAGAACATGGGTTTTGCATGACATAAACCACCACCAATCTCAGAGGCACAATTTGATACTAGATCCAAGATCAACGAATCAGTGGGGCATGGTGGAGCACACCTGCAATCCCATCTCTTGGAGGATAGGGGAGCAGAAGGACCACAGGTTGGAGGTCAGCCTGGGACACACAAAAAGGCTGAGAAAAACTACAGTAAACCAATTCTAAAAAGTTCAGAGGTAGTAATAAATACTGACTTGAACAATTAATGAACATTACTATTCTTAAGAGAAGGGATGAAAACAGTTTAAAAATTACTAATTTGCTAAGGGCTGAAGAGATGGCTCAGCATTTAAGAGCACTAGCTGCTCTTAGAGGCCCCTGGGTTGGGTCCCCAACACCCATATGGCAGATAAAAACAGCCCATAACTTCAGTTCCAGGGGATCCAACACCTTCTTTTGGCCTCTGTGGGCACTGCATGGCATAGGTGCACTGCACTTACTTACATGTAGGCAATACAAATACACATAAAATAAAGTTAATTAAAATCAAATATTTTAAAAATTACTAATTTACTAACTTAATCTGGTAAGGGCTTTTTAATTTAATCTTTTTGAGAGAGGGTCTCCATGTAGCCCCTGCTGGCCTGGAATCCGCTATGTAGACCAGGCTGGCCTTGAACTCTAAAAGATCTGTCTACTGGGATTGAAGGCATGTGCCACCACGCCCAGCTGGTAGTGTTTCTTCTAACTGCCAAATTTCCATTAAGTTTCTTTTGGCATGTTTCTTGGTCTTTTTGAGACAGGGTTTCCCTGTAGCTCCAGCTGGCCTGGAACTCACTATGTAGACCAGGCTGGCCTTGAACTCACAGAGATCCACCTGCCTCTACCTCTCAAGTGCTGGGATTAAAGGCATGCACCACCACGCCCAGTTGGTAAGGGCTTTTATATGAAGTATTTGAAGAAAGAATTTTGACAAAAAGATGAATGTAAAAATAAAGTACATGTGCTTCTTAGAAATAAAATCTTAATGCTTTAGGGGCTGGAGAGATGGCTCAGCAGTTAAGAGCACTGGCTGCTCTTGCAGAGGACCCAGGTTGGATTCCCAGCACCCACATGGCGGCTACAAACAGTCTCCAGTGGAATCCAAAGCCCTCTTCTGACCTCTGCGGCACTGCACGACATGGGTGCACTCACATACAAGCAGGCAATACACTCATACACATAAAACAGAAATAAATATTTTTTAAAATCTTATGCTTAGCCGGGCATGGTGGTGCACGCCTTTAATCCCAGCACTTGGGAGGCAGAGGCTGGCGGATCTCTTTGAGTCCAAGGCCAGCCTGATCTACATAGTGAGTTCCAGGACAGCTGGGGCTACAGGGAGACCCTGTCTCAAAAAGATCAAAAACAACAACAACAACAAAAAACCAGAATGCTAGCCGGGCATGGTGGCACATACCTTTAATTCCAGCATTTGGGAGGTAGAGGCAGGTGGATCTCTTGTGAGTTCGAGGCCAGCCTGGTCTACAAAGTGAGTTCCAGGTCAGCTGGGGCTACAGGGAGACTGTCTCAAA